TATTCGTATTCACTAACTTTCTGTTATCTTATGATGCGAGTGCAAACACACTCGACCAAATAAAATAGCTGTAGTTTTTTATGTTTTTGGTAAATTTTCCTATAAGACCTTTGTTTAAGAATCTACGCCACGATTGAATATGTCAATTCCACTTTTGTTTCACTCTCCACGAAGAGGTGGTCTCAATCCACCTAAATGTATAACCCAACATTTGCATCATAGGTCAAAATATTCAGTGTTCTCAGTAAGCGAAATTTAAAAATTCGGTCGAGATAACTTTCATGCGTCACTTTGTATACATTAAATCATATTTGGGTACAATATTAGTTAACTAGTATGCCGACCGAATTTTATTATATTTCAACATTATTTATTATAAAACTACGAACATAATATTGAAAATATTTGTTATTGGGGGGGGGGGGTAAAATCTAACTTTCTGTATAGTGGATTAATACATTACGTCAAATAATGACCAATATAATTCTAAATGTGATACAATTGTGAAAAATATAGTGATATTAAATCTCATCAATGTTAATAAAAGGCAAACTCATAGTGACTAACATGTTTTGTGATAGCTGGCGCTACACACAAATATTCGTGCGAGTCGTACATATTTCATGGACGTGGGGGGGGGGAGTATACTATTTCACAAACCGCATAATAGACTCCACATAACAGTAAAGAATACATTAATGGTATGTATCCATTACGTTATTTAGAATTAAACATAACTTCTTGTGATTTCGATAACAGGAACGTTGCCCAGAAAGCCTGGAGTATTTGTTTGTATCTTAAACGTTTTTAAAGTTGTCTAAAATGTCAGGAAAGCTGCTTCCAAAAACAAGTGTTTTGTATTGAAAAGTGAAATGGTGAACGTTTTAAGCTAAATAAGTAGATTGCGAGGTCAGGTTTTTGTACCGCTCGTCAAAATTTACGAGAAAGCCTAGAGAGTAGTTCAAAAGTAAAAACAAATGTATTAGAATTAGTAAATGTCAACGTCTTGAATTATTGTAAGAAATGTCAAAAATTGTTTACGAATCAGACAGTGTTGATCCACTTTAGCTTTTGTGCATTAGGTCTTTCTATTTTATACTGCATAGAACGATTTGAAGTATGCATTTAATTTAGTTCTTTATAGATTTTTCGTCTACCTCAAATTAATGGATATATATATATACGTATTTCCAAATGATAGAGCAAATATGTAATGTACTTTGCAAAGCTATTCTTTCACTTTCACTTTCTTTTTGTGAAATGGGACGTGAGTATAAAATGTTTGTAATCAAATCACTTTTTGGCAAAATGGCACTGTTCGGTTTCATATGATGGAAAAATCTTACAAATTATATTAAAGATTGGGTACGTATGGTTGAATGAAATAAAATAATAAAAATATGAGTTCAATATCAGTTCTGAATCTAATGTACAACGTACCAACCTTTCCATTGTCTACGCTCATGGACTAAATGACGAAGTGTGCTGTCCATTGATATCATTACGGCTGCCAATTATTTGTTTCGCTAATAATACTTGGCAGGTTTAATGGGAGATACCAAACTGAATATTAAAATTATCAGTTTTACGTCCATTACAATCATTAATCAAAGACATGAAGTTTGTGCATTAGCGTACAACCATTCTGTGAACTTCGACTTAAGTTACTTCATTTTTAAAGGACAAGACAAAGTCATATCTTATTTGCAAGGCTACAACTAGTCATTTTTACGTGTAGTGATGTCATTAATCAATATCTTGGGGGGGGGGTATTGAGAATAACTTGATGTAACTTGACAAAGAGAGCAAAACAAACGAAAACAGGTCAAGAAAGAGAAACATATTTCAAAAGTGGTTTGAAATTGACACACATTTCGTTTTTATCGATGATGGCTCATGCTCTTCACGGATATACACGCAGCTATAAACCGAGAGTTATTACCTACGGCCACGATTGTAATACACTGGTATTATGTACCAGATCAAACCAATTTCAATCTGATTTGCGGGTAAACATAATCATCATCGCTGCCATGGTAACGTTTGCTGGGTGGCCCATTTTTGATCGTTACATACTGACCTAAAATAAGGAAAGCATAAAACCATAAGTTTTCCTGACTCCTGACCATGGCGATAGAGGGCGTGTGTATTTAGTTGGTGTCTACCGTGAGACCTGTGCGCGATGACGGGACAATTTTCCACACGGTTCTGACTGTAATGGTGAGGTTAAGTGATGAAATTGTTGATTTTGTCTCATAGTTTATGAAAAAGTGAAACACATTTTATTAAATCATTATATACATTTTTGTGATTGAATTATTACTGGTGGCAAACAAAATTATCGAACCATTTGTTGAATAGACAACCATTTGTATTTAAATGTTTGGTAACTGGTTTTAAAATGGCCTTATAAAGCTTTGGAACAAAACAAAACATAATAACAATTGGTTGATCACGGAATTCTCCGGGACACTCAAGTTATAATGCTTTACAATGCAACTCTGTGTAATTTAAGTAAAATACAAATACAAAAAACAAATTTGGAAGAAAAGGAATCTTCCCGATACATGGCTGAAAATAAGAATCCTAGAAATAGTGTAATTTCACCATATTACCTTCTGGCCTTAGATCTGACATTCAGATCACTAAATTATGCATTTGAATACTTAAAACTATCAAGTCTAAGGAGTAAATTATTCAAATGAAATATCAGACAAAGACATATTCATAACCAAAGGTCAATATAACTCGTATAATATTAATATAAAATATAGTCTTAGCAGAGTCTTTCTATAATATCTTCTTCCACATCTCAACGTCTATAAACTTTGAGAAAACGATATATCAATGACAAG